TACATTATTAAAATAAATATCATTTTACCTGTAATATTGATACCAAACATAATATAAAATTTATAAAGCTCGTTCTTCTTGGTTTTTTTTGATATATCAGTATATCCGTCCAAGCTCAAACGTGCCAGCTTGTTATGATCATTTGTTTCCGTCGATTTCCATTTCCCATTTTTGACATATGCGAGTTTATACCACTTTTGTCTGAAAAATGCGCGAATCATTAAGTCTTGGTTTGTTGACTCTCGAGCCAGCCACTTTTCGTTTTTTGCTAGCAGCACTTTGACAATCATTTCTCGTTACTTCGATGTCAATGTCAACTGGCATTTGATATACCGTCGCCTCTACAAGACGTTTTATAATGTCTACAAGAGCATTCTCCGAAGACTTAGATATTTCACGAAGAGTGTTCCTTTTAGTTTCTTGCCGAAGCGTTTCTATTATATATATCGCTATTAACGCTCTTTTTCTTTCGCCCTCAATCCAGTCCTTATGCCTTGTTATTTCTGAAGGCGCAATGATGTATTTGTACTGGTTCTGGATTTCGTTTCTTTTTATGCCAAGGTTTGCAAAATCTGCACACACTCCTTTTATCAGTGCACCTTTTTCTAAGTTCTTTATGCCACCTTTCTCACCCTGCATAAAAAAACCCCAAATATGACATATAATCAATATAATCCTTGTGACTTGTGAGAATATAAATTACTCACCACAAGAACATCATAGTCATCCTCCATTAATTGATATTGAGAAGATCCGAGGTCAATTATACCATTAGCCAATGGGTTATCATAGGTTAAATCGTTAATATCTACGGCTTTCATCTCCTCAAGAAGACGTTCGAGTATCGATGTGTTTGCTCTCTGATAATTTGGAATTAGTAATATGATTAGTTATATATGGTTCCTGACAAAATAAACATGCGCCAAAAAATACCTTTAGTCTATCCTTTAAATTATTGATATTAGATATAGCATGATCTTTCCAATTCGGAGGTTCATCAGTCTCGAATCTTTAAAGATAGAATCGTTATATATATATTTCTTTTTATTGTATTTTTTTCAGAAAACATTTACCGAATTCTGCCTGCATCTACTAATAATTTTAATTCTTTCCATACACATCGTATCTGCAAAAAATAATATCTACGTTACTAAATACTCGAAAATAAAAGGGTATAATACGACAAGCCAGGTCTATTATTCAGTGAGCCGGCATCACTGATTACTGCACTCTCGTTATTATCTCACCGCTTACAAATTCTCATTGCATCAAGTAATACAAAGCTGAAACTTCTCGCAAATGATTTATAGCTAGTCACCATCGCTTATATACCGTATACAATGCTGAAGCTCTCGCAAGTGATTAACGGACTATCGAGGTGTCTTTATCATCATACGAATAGAAATAATATATGTTAATGAATGACATATACCTTATTGATATCTTGGAGTGATATAAGATATTGCTTTCTATCGTTATCAAGATCAAGATCTTTTGTTGTCAACTCTTTTAAAATCTCCAAAAGACAGTTAGTCATTTTCTTCCGATTGTATACCACTATGAGTCAATAGTTCATTTAAGGCTCTAAGAAAAGTAATTCTATTGAGTGGTTCGTTTCGTAAATAATCTTTTAAGGAGTCAAACTCTCCGTGGGAAGTCATTGCGTTAAGAAATAAGCGATAAAAATCGAAGAGCTATATATACAACGATCACGATCACCTAATACGTATTAGGGCGGCCGTTGGCCAATCAAAAATAGTAATTTATTATATATGCCGAAATATACCTTTTATGACTTTAAAATATGCAAAAAATGCAAAATGCGAAAAAAAGGAGAAAATTTTATTATATTTATTTTTTTTATTTTTTTTTAGTACCCGTAGCCAGGTTAGATTGTCAGTTTATTAATCAATTGAAAACATAAGTACATTTTTTTTCAAGCAGCATGATACATACTACAGTTAAACTATTATTCTAATCTAATTAACTTATTATAAGCATAAGAGCTTCTAAGTTTGGCCTTGGGAACAATATTTTGCTCCGCAGTATCTTTAGGTGAAAACCCTCCTAATCCATTGCATCATTATCAGCAAGTTGTCACCATTGTATGTTTTACCAAGCTGCTGGAATACAGGAAATTACAAAAAAATAAGTTAAAAAAAAAGAGGAAAAGGAATATCCAAAAATGTTTAAATAGATAACAAGAAAATGAAAAGGAAAAAAAGATTTTCAACTTTCTCCAAAAACTTGTTTCTCAAGATCTCTTTTCAATAAGAAATATCTGATTGGAATATCTTTTCTTTTCTTGACCATCTAAGGAATTTATCTATTCTTGATCTTGATTTCCTTCTTACTGTATGTACTATCTGAGAAAATCTATCACCTAGTGGAAGCCTTTACTTCCAGGACATATTTGGTTCCAACCTTCTTTAGGCATTGATTTTTTATCTATTAGTGATAGAAGGATGACTTATTATAAATTCCAAGTTCTTATGTGACTTAGTAAGAACTGGGTCATGTTGTTTCAGTATGATACCTTCCAACAGTTATGCCTAGTTAAAGGAATTTTACTGATATACATTTTTCATTATCTAAAAGATTAAATTCCCCATAATCTTTTTACCTTATAATAATGGCAGGGTCTTGAAAGTAATAAAAATCCTCGTCGATTGTAATATCCTTTAACAACTTTTGGGAAAATACATTCTTAACTGTAATCAAAAGATTGAAACTTAGCATGAATTAGAAACCATTTGATCTTATTGCCTAACTAAAATAAAAAAAAAATCTTGATTTTGAACTTTGTTTGACTGGAATAATAGAAGAAAAAGACCTTAGCTTAAACAAATAGTAGCTTTTTTATTATTTGGGAACTTGTTGCTTGTATTTTATTGATCTCATTAAACTTAATCTATAGGTTAATCCAATTGTAAGAGTGAGATGGACATAAAACACCAATCAACTCATTCAATCATCAATAACATCATTAAAATATATAAGGTGATCAGTAGAGATTTGTTTATAATCAATTAATAATGTATTTTATATCCATAAATTATATTTTACAATATATTGTGTTATATAAATTTAGAATCAAACTGAGGTAGGCAAAATTCCTCGAAAATTTTAAAAAAATTTTAGGCAACTATAAAAGAAAAGAAACAGTAAGCAGATACTTTGAAAATATAACTTAAAGTTTATCACCTTTTATTGCAAAAAACTTCTATAAACATGCTTCAATATAAAAGACTTTGAGTACTATACTATTAATTCTTCTTTCTTACAGAACTTTTTTGCCATAGGTAAAGATAGGTCCCTAAAAAAGTAGGCAGGGACAAAAGTCAAATGTTCCTTACTAGGAAACATTAAAATTTTTAAATTAATAACTATAAAAAAATTATTCACAATTGTTTTCTATTATTCAAAT